GGGTACCCCTGCACCCCCCCCCCCCCCGGCGTACCTCTGGCTCAGGGGCGCACGGGGGGCGCACTTCGGAACCTCCAGAGGCGTTCGGGAGTTCTCGAGAGCCTTCGAGATCCCGCGTGGTTTTCATCAGCGGCGCCTCGTCGAGAGCGTTCCTGGAGTGCCTGGATCGTCCAGAACGGCCGCCGCAGGCCCGATGGCCAGGGGACCAGACGCATCGACCCCCCATCGCCCATTGATCGCTGGTAGGTGCCTGATAGCCCACCCTGCCCAGGAACGTTCGGCTTCGCACTCGGGGGTCCGTCGCCGATCTGTCGGCGGTGCGTCGCGGATTCAGACTCGGCGTTACCTCCCCCCCTGAGCTGGTCCCGCCCTGAGGTTCCTTCTCAGGAGTGGGTCCTCCCTCCTCCCTGGCGGAAAGTGGTCGGGAGGGAAGGAGGGCTGGGTCGGACAGCAGGGGAGCGGGGCACTGAGAGGGAGGTTCTGGGCGTCGCGGGGGGGCGAAGGATGCGCCATGGGGAGAAACTCCTCCCTCCTCCCTGCTGGAGGTGGGGATGGGCGAAGGAGCGCTGGGTCGGACCAACGGAGGGGTCAGAGAACGCAGATGCGAAAAGTGCTCACGCAGCTCGGGGCGCCGTCCTGGATGCATTGGCACCTCTGCGGCAGGGAGGCGCCAGGAAAACCAGCCACGTGAGGTGATTGCTTGGAGGCCTGTGGCAGGCAGGGCTGGTGGCGTCCACACTTCTCGTCGCACCACGGGGTGCCGCACACGCCCTGCAGTCGTGGATCCGGGTGAGGGGCCGACGGCGGCCGACTGTGCGGTCGGGAAGGGGGCGACTGACGGCGCAAGGCCGTTCGGGCTTCCCCAGACTATAAGAGTGGCCGCCTTCCGCCTTCTCTGGCGGGTTTGGCCTTGTGCTGCTATTCTGGACGCTTCGCGTAACCCCTCCAGCAGTATCGGCCCTGGCTCTCCTTCTGAGTGGCTGCCCGCTCGCTCGCTTCGCTTGCCTTTCTTTTCCTGCTGCCTAGTCGCGGCCCGACTAGTGTTCGGACGGCTTTCGGCCCGCCTCGCGAGCCTGTTGACCAAAAGTAACCCCACCAGTCCCCTGAGCTGCACCGTAGCTCGCTCCCGCTGCCTGTGGTCAATTTGGTGCTTGGCTCGGCTGCCTTGTTACTTCCAGCGCGCGGTCGGACAGCGACGCTTGCGAACCAAAAAAGCACCCCCACCAGCCCCCTGGTGGTCTTCCAGTTCGACGTCATCTTGCTCTTCGCCATTTTGACGCTGCGCGTTGACCTGGAGCCGTTCTGGGTCCCCCTCGCTTCTGAGTCGCAGCGTAGTTCGCTTCTGCACGCCTAGTGGATAATGTAGGCCACTGCTAGTTTGCAATTTCCTGGACGGCGCGCGGCACTTCCGCTTGCGCTCGCGAACAAAAAAGTAATTCCACCAGCTCATCCCGAAACGATGCCCAGGCGAGTTGCTATGATCAGGGGTGTGTGGGAGCATGCAATGGAATAGGGGGCTGGGGAAGCCGTCGTACCCCAAAAGAGGGGGATGGTCGTCGTCGCTGTCGTCGTCATCGTCGTTCGTCGTCGCCTTCAGAGGAGAAGGAGGGGGAGGAAGCGGAGGGGAGCAAAGAGGAGGAGGAGGAGGAGGAGGAGAGCAAGTAGGAGGAGGAGGAGGATGACAAGGAAAAGGAGGAGGAGGAGGACAAGGAGGAGGAGGAAGAATAGGAGGAGGAGGAGGAGAGCAAGGAGGAGGAGGAGGAGGAGGAGGAGGAGGAGGAGGAGGAGGAGGAGGAGGAGGAGGAGGAGAGCGTCCAGAATGGCCAGAGGCCTTTTGGATGCGTCTCGGAGTCTTTTCGGGTCTCTCTTGAAAGTGTCTCGGGGTCCTTTTGGGGCGTCTTGGGGGCCTCTTGGAGCATCGCGGCTGCCTCGGGGGAGCCTCCTGGTTTTTTTTGGATGTCTCTTGGAAGCCTCATGGGGACCTCTTGGGGCCTCCTGGGCCCCTTTGGGCACGCGTGAGTAGCACACGAGCCTCAGCATGTTCAGCGATCGTCTATGGATGGGCAGCTTTTGGGAGCCAGCTGAGACCCCATGTGTGCGACGCCGGGGCACGGTGCGCCACGCATGCCAGGCGCTCCGGGTGCGCCAGGCGCACCAGGGGCCCAAGCGTGCCAGGCACGCCTCGGGCGCCAGATGCGTCACGTGGTCCACGTGCGCTATGAATGCCGCATGGTCCAGCCG